TCTTGGGTGGCCCTGCACGGTATAGCTCATGGCTTCACTGAGTTATGCAAGCCCCTTCGCCACGACAAGGCAGTGATCCATGAAGGGGATCTCAAGTACAGTTAAATATTTATTTATTTACTTGTGAGTGTCTACTGTACTTTCTGTTTGCAAGGTAGAATGTACACACATATATAAGCAGCCTTCCTAAAGTTTACTAAGCACCTGAAAACTAAAAACAGAGAAATAATAACTTACTAAAATGATGTAAATAAAGTATAAAATAAATCAATAATTTATTTATAGTCTCAGACCAATTAAACATAGAAATATAGAATTTAAAATACAGAATTACCAATGAAACACAATAGAAAATTTAAAATACTCTGGTTGCTCTTCAGATGGCATAAATATTTCACCTTTTATTAAAAATAAAGAAACATCCAAGTACCCCTCCTCTGAGTTGCACATCACATTAAATTCATGTAACACAGTATGTCAAAAGCAAGCAAACCATATTAGGCTTTGCCTGAATTCAGTGTAAAAGAATCATGTTGCATGGCATATAGATATATAGAAGGGAGGTTAATTTCTGTATTTCCTCTGGAAACTGTTTAAAAATCTTAGGTTGAGACCCTAGCCCTAGTTGTTGTTACTGTTTCTTTAAGAACCTCCTCTGCCAACACTATCATCAATCCAGCCCTGGAAATTTCCTCTGTTGACCAGCAACTAGCTCTCCAGTAATTTAGTAATTCAGTAATTCAGTAATCTGAAGCTCAGTCACTTCCACTGACATTCTAACACTTGATCTGAACATGATATGCTGTGCATCACAAAGCTGGCTTTCATTGCCAACTGTTTCCCTGACCTATATAACTACCTATCTGCTTACTGTAGCTCACGTGGTCACTTCTCCCAGACAATAACAATTCAATTATGAACAAGCTCATTGCATTCTGTTACCATATGCCATAACTGATGCTTTTGGCATTTTTAATTCTTAAAATCAGGCATCTTAAAAAGGTAGGATAAGACAGAAAAATATGCACACAATATGAAATTTAGAAATACAACAATACAAAAATGATTGTAGAGAGAAAGAAAGATAAAGTTAATATTTTAAGGACACAATGAATGGGAGTAAATCAAAAAGCATAACCATGAGGTTCCTCTTACCCACAAAACAGAAAAAAATAAATAGCATACTTTTACCATTTCCTTTTTAGAAAAAAAAGAAAGTTGAAAAGTTCATAGTAAAAACAGATAAACTTTCCATTCTTGAATGCAACATTTCAGCACAAGCAACATTTCCAATTCAATCAGTTTATCACCTATTTATGATTTCACAATATAATCTAAGTGTGAGACAATTAAAAAATCTAATGAATTATTGGTAAAAATGAAGTGCAAACCTTTCTCCGATGAGATGGCACAATGAAAAAGGTTTCAATATTATGCTTCTTTAAGAAACTGTTCCTTTCATAGCCATACCCTGGCTCCACCTCATAGTCACCATTTAGGCACTCTAATGTGGTCTTTGTTATGTGCACTTTCCTAGGTACAAATAAAGAACAGTTGTTTAATACTATGATCCATTAGAAGCTAATAGGGGACCTCAAATGCAACCTTTTGCCACTGGTGAACTCTTTCTTCTGAAATGTAGGGAGATCTCTTGATGGAAGGCAAAGGCCCAGGTGTCCTGTTTCTCATGTTATTTTTCAACTATCAACAACACTTTCAAGATGTAGTCAAAGGTCTTTCACTTTGATGAATGCACACACTGCATCAAGCCATAGTTTAGTCTTCCCATGGTATGTGTATGTGTGTGTCTGTGTACAATCTTACTGGCCTACTTTACATGCCAGGGCATAAACTGTGATTTTTAACCAGACTAATTCGCTTATTGATGTAAACCAGTGTTTCTTAAAGTGGTCCAAGGACCCCTGGGGATCCCCCAAGACCCTCTCAGAGGCCCATGAAATCAAAATTATTTGCCAGATATTGAAGGTATTTGCAAAGATTTAAAACAATGCCACTCTTATTATTATTTTTTATTTGTTAAAAAAGTAGGTTTTTTCCCCATGAAAAATATTTTATTTATGTTAATATCTAATGGGTTTAACATTGTTATTTTTACATGATTCAATAAATAAATATTCTACAAATGCATCTATTTTATTTTTAATGTAATACATATAGATAAACATAAGCCATACAAACAAAAGCTCTTTTGGGGTCCTCCATAATTTTTAAAAGTAAGAAGGGGTCCTGAGAGCAAAAAATTTAAGAAACACTGATCTAAACAATAACTGAGAAAATCACATTACTGCTTAATGGAGTGTGAGAGCCCATATTCTTACCTGATTTGGCCCTGACACAAAAGGAATAAATGTTAATGTATATAAACTTATAATACTATGAAAATATAGGAAAATGCCTAGCATTTGACCGTATGTTTATATGAATGGAGCCAGCATGCTATTTGTGCTCCAAAATAAATAAATGACAAGCTTATTGAGACTTACCCAGGCAACCCTCCAGCCTCCATTACATTAGCAAGAGTCACGTCATTTGACCAAACATCATACTGCCATTTCCGGAGACCCAGAACTCCACAAAGAACCCTTCCAGTGTGCAAACCAACTCTCATATTGAGATCTACTTCGGTGGCTTCAGCTACTGATCTGAAATATACAGAATCAAACTATTATCTATTAAAAAATAGAGTATTTGTATTAACTTTTTTTTTTCCCCTCATAAAATCAGAAGTCTAAAAACTTCGGTGTTGTTACTACAAGTATTTCTCGGGTTACAACAGCAATTGGGACTGGAATTTCCATTGCTAAGCAAGGGAGTCATAAAGTGCAATGTCATGTGACCACATCATTTAACGACTGCAATCCCACAGTCCCAGGCGCATCATAACCCCAGGACTGTGTGGATCGTTAAGCAGGAAGACATGAGAGTTCCAGGCAAGCAGGCCAGTTGGTGTGTGGTTGCCATGGGAGAGGGATGACGGGCAGGTTCTCTGGAGTGCGGGCGGATGTGCAAGTGCCCCTCCCACAGGCAGGGACTACAGAGCATGGGTTGGTGCCCTGATGCCACAGGGAAAGTGTGTGGGCAGTGCTATGGAGCGCGGCTGGGTGAAAAAGCGGTGGGGGCAGGAGCAACTTGATCACCCAGATAACTGCGGGGACGCTGTGATGGCTGCAACTTTGCAGACCAGCTTCTTGTTATAAGAGTTATATGCTCTTATAACAAGAGCATAAGTCCCTCTTGTTCAGCTCCACTGTAACTTTGAACAGTCGCTGAATGTGTGCTAGTAACTCAAGGACTACCTATTTAGGTCTTTTGGAGTGGGCTACTATAATAAAATTTAGGAATAACAATAATAATAATAATTTGAAAAACCTTTATTAAAAATCGATTACATAAAATAATCAAAATAGATGTTTATGTTAATGTGTAATTTTACTCTTTACAAAAATACTTGGATCATTTCAACCAAACATGCCCTGTATTTGTTTTAAAAGACTCTCCAACAAAATTTAGAATCCAGTAAATCAATACCGAGTCAGTGTGTGGATGAAAAAAACCAAGGATAATATTGAAAAGTGCTATGATACATGTATGTTGATAAAGTTAATTAAGCTGTATTAGGTAAAATGAGCTGGATGATATATGCAGACATTATACAAAGTACTCAGTACAGTGGTACCTCTACTTACGAACTTAATCCGTTCTGTGACTCTGATCACAAGTCGAGTTGGTCGCAAGTCGAG